AAGCAGTGGTATCAACGCAGAGTACTTAACCGTCAAAAACCACAAATCCTGATAAAATAGCGAAAAATCATGCGAAGTTTCCACTGTCATAAATCTGGTGGTTGAAGATGTCAGCAATTGCGGCTTCATAGGTTCTGAAATGTAAGTGTGTTCTACCCAGAGGTGCGATAGGGGGAGCCAAGTCTCCCCTACCTTCACTTTTGAGCTGGTACGGGGTGACCACCTTCACTTTTGGAATAAAAAATTTTTCGCTGGACGACAAAGAAGGAAAATAAGCAAAACAAACGCAAAAAAGATTATTGAAAGCATATATTTATGTATACGGGCGGCATATATATTTAAAATAAAGGTTTTTTAGTAAATGGTGTATTGGAAGTAAAGCTTAGCAAAACTGTACGGATTTTATTAAGCAAATTATGTTATAACGTATAGCGAAGGAAGTAGGTCGATCCAGGCAGTAACGGCCGAGAATCAGAATTTCGAATAAATAAATAGTGAAAAATCATGCAAAATTTCCACTGTTATAAATCTGTTGTTTGAAGATGTCAGCAGTTGCGACTTCATAGGTTTTAAAGAGTAAATGTTGCTCTATCAGCTAGTGAAGGAATCTGGTCGATTTAAGAGATAGTCGTTGAAAACCAGAGTTCTAAAACTTTACGCCATTTTTGCGTGTTTTTTGACTGTTGAGAGTTAAACTCTTATAAATCTTGAATGTGGAAGTGTATGATGTTGCGACTTCATAGGTTTTATAGAGTAAGGTTTGCCTTATCAGAATATGTCTTGTCCCGTTCCGATCCATTGAAACACCTCCGAGATCCAGAGTCATGAAAAAGCTCTTTTTTAACCTGCTTTTTCATGACTCTGGATCTCGGAGGTGTTTCAATGGATCGGAACGGACAAGACATATTCTGATAAGGCAAACCTTACTCTATAAAACCTATGAAGTCGCAACATCATACACTTCCACATTCAAGATTTATAAGAGTTTTAACTCTCAACAGTCAAAAAACACGCAAAAATGGCGTAAAGTTTTAGAACTCTGGTTTTCAACGACTATCTCTTAAATCGACCAGATTCCTTCACTAGCTGATAGAGCAACATTTACTCTTTAAAACCTATGAAGTCGCAACTGCTGACATCTTCAAACAACAGATTTATAACAGTGGAAATTTTGCATGATTTTTCACTATTTATTTATTCGAAATTCTGATTCTCGGCCGTTACTGCCTGGATCGATCTACTTTCTTCGCTGTACGTTATAACAAAATTTGCTTAATAAAATCCGTACAGTCCAACAAACTTCTACTTCCAAATACACCATTTACTAAACACGTCTATTTTAAATTTTTATAAATAAAATTTATAGATATTTTCAATATTCATCGTATCTGTGGCCCTAAAGAGGGCCGTTGGGTCGACGTTAGACCTAGAAAGATAGCTCCGTTCGTCCGTTCTATCCTCCCCCCGCACCTCTCCCCCCCCCCCCCGTCGACGTTTTTGGGAGGTGAGTGTCCGACACTACCACCTTCACTTTTGGCCGGACAGTGGTAGCTGAAACCACCTTCACTTTTGGGGAACACGGCTCCCCCTATCGCACCTCTGGTTCTACCAGATAGTGAAAGAATTAGGTCGATTTGAGCAGTGGCCGCCGAGAACGAGAATTTTGAAAAATTAAGCAATTTTTAAGCAATTTTAAGTTACTTAGTGACAGCTGACGTTTAGACTCCTATAAATCTGGAATGTGGAGGTGTGCAATGTTACGACTTCATAGGTTTTGGAGTGAGGACTGCACTATCAGACAATGTTTTAGCCGTACCGATCCATTCAGACACCGCCGAGATTCAGGCTTCTAAAGGAACAGGTAAAGAACCGCTTTAGTAATTCAACAGCTCATAACTTCTTCAGAATTGCGTGAATCATGCTGGACTTTACAGGTTGGATTCTCCTCTTCAAGAGCTTTCAGATGATATATAGTATGTGGGGGTTTCGCGCCTCTCACGGCATATGCCCGGGGGTGGAGACTTTTCATCACAAAGGTTTCCACTGGCGGCCTCCAGCCAATACGATAACATGGGCGAGGTGGAGACTTTGATATGAAAAGCCTCCACCCCGGGTTAGAGCCGCAAAGATCATTGAACCTTCCACATTTATGTGTCATCTGAAAGCTTTTGAAGAGGAGAAATCGTGCAATTCTCGAAAAGTTATGAGCTGTTGAAATTCAAAAAACGATTGCTTATCTGTCTCTTTAAGAGCCTGAATCTCGGCGGTGTCTCAATGGATCGGTACGGCTAAGACAAAATCTGTTAGTGCAATCCTTACTCTACAAAACCTATGAAGTCGCAACATTGCACACCTCCACATTCCAGATTTATAGGAGTCTAAACGTCAGCTGTCACTAAGTAACCTAAAATTGCTAGATTTTTTCAAAAAATTCTCGTTCTCGACGGCCACTGCTCAAATCGACCTAATTCTTTCACTATCCAGTAGAACAACACTTGCCCTTCAAAACCTATGGAGTAATTGCTGACATCTTCAACCACCAGATTTGCAACGGTGAAAATTTCGCGTGATTTTACGTTATTTTATTACCAGTGCGTCACCTCTGCTTCGCAGAGGCTCGCACTGGCTATACTCTATGTGCCTTACTCATGCTTGTAAAATTTTCACACTGGAACTCACCGCGCTATGCCGACTACCACAAATAAGATGTAAACAACTACTCACTCAGACAGTCGACGGCATACCTCCGGAGCAGAAACGGCCGAGCCGCGGGGTTTCCCTAGCTGGGGATTGCCACTGGTGCACCGGAGCCCTCCCATTTGTGCTCCGGAGACCTCCCATTTTGGACTCTCCGGAGTCCTCCCATTTTGTGCTCTGGAAGTCTGCCGCGGCATACTGTAGCCCTAATTAAGCTCCAAACCCCAATTATGTCTCTAAACCCCACATTAGCTGTAGACCACCGTCGAGCATGGCATACGACCGCCGAATACGACCCCCCCCCCCTCCGGGTACGAGTTCAGCGCGACCCTCAACCCCGTTCTTTATCCCCTCCCTCTCACCCCTAGCGTTTGCAGATAGAAGATAGAAGAATGAAGAGACAAGACATTTATTTCGAGTTAACTGCAAACAATCTACTGCAAATCGCAAAACAAAACTTTTGTTGTACATTGCGTTGAGCATGAGTTCGCTTCTGTCATAGGTATCATTACGTTTGCTCCACGACGGCTGCAAGAATCGAATAGATGCAGTTGAGCGTATAGTAATCACGCCATACGTACTGTTGCTCTGCTTGTACATTTTCCTACAAGAACGATTATCTGAGAAATCAGCCAGTGCCGAAAACCTACCCTTTCCTCCTTCACTCTCCCCTATTTAACCCCGTGTCTCCGCTTTTTTGTAGGATTGAAGACAGGAACATTTTGAGCTGATGCTGTAAACTCTTAATCGATGCGTTTTAGCTTTTTACGTGTGATAAAAGGATCACGTGAACTACTCAAGAGGCCCACTGTACCATTTAATCCGTATGCCAGAAATAAAAACAAGCTAAGAAGCGAAGTTCAGAATAGATGCTTGCTCTCGGATTGTGCCAGAAACGGCTTATCTTATAGTACCTCCAAGGCCAATAGCACTTTCGAGACCAGCTATTCTAACACTGCGACGAGTAGTGGATGTGTTTTTACGCCATAACTGAGGGTGTCTAGAGGATTCATATGAGGAAGTACCATAGTTCAATTGAGGACGCAAGCAATACCGCTTCTGCGACTACTGGTTTTTTTCATATCCTACAACATATACAAAGTATATCATTCATCCTCTGACAAGAGGCGCGAGCATGCTCTGCGCACGTTTGATCAACAAGTTCGTGGATGAGTTCTACCGCGTTTTGATTATTTAATATCAGGAATACGTAAAAGAAAGTGTTCACGCCAGCGTGGTTCAACTAGCTCAAACATGTTCTTCCACGAAA